CATCAGTATATCCAGCATTCTCCAAAAGAGAATATTTTTCAGTTTTGAAGACATCATCCCCTTGCAACAAACTCAGGACTTCCATTGACTTGGCTGATCCCAAGCCCATGATTGATCAAAGTGGATCAAGAGGGAAACATTAGAAGCTGTGACACAAGTCACAGTAGCTTTGTATATGCAGCATATGCTCACAGAATATGGTGACATAGCTTAATCTGTACAAAGAACTTATGTTCCATTGGTAAGGGGTTGATGAAACAGAAGAGGAAAAAGGTCACTAAACAAAATTTATGATGAGGTTAAACAGCATCTGTTAGAGTTTTGCATGTTATCTTCTGCACTGTGCCCAAACTTGCATTCCTATTCAAATGTTGTGGGTCAGCCTCCATTTTCAAACACATCCTTTGTGTGACCGTGTAGCTGAGAGCAAACACCCTGTTAGCTGTGCACGTAGAACACTGTATAAAGGACCACCCATGTAAATGAGAACCATCCTGCTACTCAGGCTTTGATAGCTACTTAAAACTTCAAAACATCCAAAACAAGGATCTAGAAAGACAGAAAACTAGCAAACAAATATCAAATCTCAAATGGGGACAAGTATTAATGTTCTTCTCAAGTAATGTGGCTGTTCCCCTCGATCACTTATTTCTCAATGAATAAAGCATTGCTGTAAATTTTTCAACAAGCAGATTCTCAAGTATCTATCTACTTTCAGTGGGCAAAGCAGAAGATGTGTGGACACATTCCTTATTTCTCATGCAAACTGTCTCCTGGGAGACAATAAGTAAAGAAGTCCATGTTTGCTACCAAATCTCTTTTCCAAAGAATTCAGGCTGAAAAATGTTGTTTAAAGTTAATTCCAAAATGCAGACGATTCCTAGAGGTAAATAGCAAGGTCTTACTTTAACCCAGAATATAGGTGAGCTAGATGATCTTCTTTTTACTTTTTCTCTAAGTTTCTCTTTTTCATGAATGTTGCAAAAAAAAAAACACCTTCTCTTGCAAATCCACCCAGCACAATAGTTATCACTGCAGACCTTCTAGAAAACAAAGACAATGCCCAGAGATGCAATATTATTTACCTTCTCAAGTGGTTCAAAGAGATCTTCTAGTTAAATCCATCTTAAACATCCCATGATTTCTACTACAGCCCAGGCTGCTCCCTCAAAGAGAAATTAAGACACAGGAACTTGTATAATTAGTTGAACAAGCTATTGCTGCTCAGAAAAGAAATTGCCTCTAGAGCCTGCCCTCAAATTTCAAGTGTGAGGCTGAGCAGATATGCCACTGCAGAAAACCCACAAGGCATTTTAAGAGGAGATATTTCCTGATACCATTCATCAGATAGTACTCATTATTTCCCCCTGCACTGATCTGCGTCCTTCAGTGTCTTATCTGCAGATTAGTGGACTAACTTGTTCCACTGCTGTTACTCACCATCTTTGTTCAACAAAAGAGGGTGTTGAGGACTGAAAACGGCAAAATTATGTTTTGTAGCTATGGCAAAATGTTTGTGGGCTTTGACTTAAATTATAAAGGAGGAAAACTCCTCCTTTTTTCAGGTAAGAAAAGTTTTCCTACCTGAGCTGGCAGCATGTTCACTGCAGGCTGGGCCTGGA